GGATGGCTGTATTTTACTTCTTGCCTCAGAATTGTGCAACCTTTAAACATCCCTTGAAAAGAAGCTTAGATAAAAGAAAAGACATTTCTGTGCATGACAAAAGTTGCCTGTTTTCATGTTATCTTTGCATGATTATGAGTGAACCAGCAATCATGAATTTATCATTTAAGAACTATTATTGGTATTAATGTGATTATCTCTTTGCATTATTAAGTGGTTTCATTATTATATTTTTATATACAATGGTAAAAAATTTCTTTGCATTTATTAAAATAATAATGTTCCATTAAAAATTCCTTATATTTATTAAAACAATAACGCTCCATTAAAAAAAAATCGTCTTTCTTTTGCATCAAATGAGCAAACAAAATAAATCAAATTTTAAATACTTTGCACAAAGAATTTTTCTGCACAGACTTCTTTGATTCACTAAACGATTTGAGTATTTATCAAGGCAATACAGTTTTTTGTGGCATCAAAGTTTCATTTGATGCTAAATAGTCTGAAGTGGAGACTTGTTATTGTCCTGGAGACAATTTAAAGAATCTGAAACTGTTGATAGGAAGGTGGGACAAAGTAATAGAAGAAAAAATGCTATATCTTAAAAACAATTTCTTTATCCATCACAACAAGAATTTAATTACTAAACAAATGTGCCTAGAATTTAGTTATTGCTGAAGACTTTAGATCAGCAGTGCCCAACCTTGTGTTTGTGAGCACAAGTATGCTTGCCTATCATTTTGTATGTGCTCACCAGCCTGATTAGGTACTATGAACAAAATATATTTTAAAATTAACCATTCATTTATATTTCTTAATTGTTAAATATGTAAGCTTTATAGCCATAGGATTATTTGTAATACATTATAATATTGATTGCTGACTGATGAATGATATAAACATGGAACTTTTGCTTCAGTCCGATTTAGGGCTCAGCAGGGCAAAGTACTTAAGAAATTTTTAAATTCTTTTGCCAAAAAGCAGTTTTTGGAATCCGGAAATTAAGTTATAAAGAATGGACGACATAATTGCGTATCGACTGTATTTCTCACGGATATAAATAAAACTAAACACTGAGTAAGAACTCCAGGGAAAAGAGAAGAAAAAAAAAAAAAAAAACTTTTTTAAGATCAGTTAATTTAGGATAAATCAGATGAAAAAAAAAATTCACCCATTTTTAGAATTTATCAAGCATATTAATAATCACAAGGCAATTGAACGGGAATACTCAAAATAAATGATTGAAAATAATTTTGAACTCTGCTTCTTTGATTTCCATAAAGTTCAACGAATATTATTATTCATTTCAAACCCATTTGCCGAAATTAATATTTCAGATGTATCACATACAATTAGAAATGTGTTTAACAAAAATGTTGATGTTTTGGAAATGTCTCGTGATAGGCCAAAGGTTGGGCACCACTGCTTTAGACTGTAGCAAACTGGGTATGGGAAATTTAAGATAGCCAGTGGTATTTGTTACTTTTACCTTGCAAAAAGGGCATGTGAATTGATACAGGAAATAATTTAGTCCACAATAATAATGGAGTCCAGTACTCTTTTCTGTGTGTTTCTTTGATTATGACAAAGTGCTTGTGGGAAAAGTATCTTCATGGAAGACCTTCCTAAGTGAAATTCAATCATTTCTCATATTACAGAGAAAAAAAACCATTTAAACACTCGTATAACCAGCTCATTTGCTGAGGCTTCAATCTGCATTAGACAACCAGTGTTTATGAATCTTAGCCAGTTAGCAAGTAATCTTTCATATTTTAATGTTTATTCTCCCAAACTAATTAATTAACTTATTAAGGATAAGAATTGTATTGTGGTTTGCATGTGTAAGGCAGAGGAGATTATATTTTCCACTGATGGCAAAATTTCTGTTTGTTTCCTAAAAATAAATGTTTTCTTCTAGTTCCATCATTATACATTATTTCATTATTATTTGTATCATAATGTAGTTATGCATCATATTCATTCGCATTTAAATTTTCATTTTTATTTACATGTTGTGGCACTGTGATTAGTTGCAAAGTAATTAAGCTGTTTTTCGGAAATCCATGTTTTTTTATGCATACCCTTTTAATGTATGCAGTTTTTATGTGTGCAGTTTCGATAGAAAAGTATGTCTATTTATCAAGCTGTTGAGCTTGAAAATTCAAAATAGCGATTAATTTGAAATATATAAGAATGAATAAGGAAGAGTAATTGAGACATACGAGAAATTCATATGCAAGAAAATTTTTTGCGAGTATATGCATTCTGAAGTTGTAATAAAAATAAACATAAAATTGATTTGTATCTTTAAAAAATACTTCTAGAAAGGTGAAGAACTACTGTTTTTAATTATTTGTATTTAAAAAGTCATGTTTTCTGCTGATAAATTATTAGTGTCTCAAATGAAAAATTCTATCTAACCCATTTTAAGAATGATAGATTGAATAAAGCTTGAGTCTATATCCAAACTAATATTTTGAGAGACTGAAATTGTTTCTGAAATAAAATAGAATAATTTTATATTCTCCCTTGTCCCATTTCTGATGTTCCCATTTGTATTATGTTTTCTCCAAAATTCGAGTTCTTAAACTGTTAAATCTTTGAGAAGATTAGTTATTTTAACTCGTAAAGTTTGCAGTTTTTTTATCATATTATTTAACTGAATGATAATTTTAAAAAATGTTCTAGAGAATTTATTCTATTTTGTTGGTACGTTTTCATATATGTCATTAATTGCTAAATAACTTTTCCTTATAGTTAAAGGAAGTAATGTTGTATTTTGCCAAGTTCTTAACCCATAGAAAACCATTACCGGTTATGCTTCAAATAGCTGTTTGTGCTGAAAAATGGACCAAAAGTGTGTCATCATTTATTGATAAGTTTATGGTCAGCCCGTTATTGTTCTTCACATCATTTCTTGAGGCAGCTATATATGCTAAGATACCAATTATCCCTCATGTATGTGACTTGCAAGAGAAGAAAATAGTTTTAACTAGTAAGTGCATTATTTGCTTAATTAATTATGCTGTTGCATGATGTTATTTTTATATATACATTAACAAACTTTTTACTTATTTAAATACATATATTTTCAAATCGAAGAACAAATATATCGTTTTCCGTTGCTTACATTTTTATTTGATTTCCTATATTCCTTTGTTATATCTTACCTCTCTCCCAGTTTAGGGAAACTTTAAAATGCTTTCTTTCTATCTTGTTATAAAAAAATAAAATTTCTGCTGTCGTAGTTTTACCAAACAGTTCATTTATTAAGTTGTTTTTCTTAAATTTACAGTTTATAGTGTTATATCTACTTCCAAGGGTGCATAATTTGAAGTAAACAATGAGTAGTAACTTTCCCTAGCATGCTTAGGTGAAAATCCTAGCAACAGTGTAGGTATCATAAATCAATTATAGAACATTTTATAAATGGATTTTATTCTTTAAATGCTGAAATCTGAAATAAAGAAGTTTTTGAAGCCATAAAGTTCCCTTCACCAGTGGAAAGAATTATAAATATGATTTAAAAAATAATGAAATAATGTAAAAATTAATAGTAGGAAGTAAAGAACATGAAAAATCAAAATTTTGTGCAGAGCAGTACATTTAGGAAATAAAATAAATAAGTTTCCAAAAGAATTTAAGTGAACTTTTAAATCTTTTGTCACATTGTTGATAATGACTTTAAATTCTGTAATATTTAAAAAGAGAAAATTTTATAAAAGAAGAATGCACACTAATAAAACATTTATAACGCTAATAATGTTTCACGGTTTAATACAGCTTAATCTTTTCATAATACCTATTGCATTCTAGGGTGACAACATTTTACTTTTACAGAATTAACAAGTAGTATATTTTGATGCCAGTGCTATCCATGAGGGTTTTTTAATATTTAAATGCACCATGTCTGCAGTAGATGAAGTTCAATTTTTTCTACAATATCAAGCGATTGTAAGTAAGGCATATGGTGGCTAAAACCAGATTCAACGTTGTGTATGTGAGAAAATCGATAATGTTTCCAATTCTGTTTTCTTCAGTGGATATTTCTAAGCAGTTTACCATTGCTTTCTCGTACGTTCTGCTTCTCATCTTTGAAGGTTGTTGTGCTACATTATTATTCTGTCCTGAAATTTATACTATGATTATAATGAAAATAACACTGTTATAAGTGTTATTTAGATTATGGCAAATCACACAAGGGTTATCTGCTTAATGGAAGAGGTGCCTTTGTGGAGGCCATTTTGAGGAAAAATGGGTTGTATCCATGTTACAGATGGAAAAAACTACAAAAACTCTCATGCAACCAGCCTGTTTGCCAGGATTTGAATTCTGTTCAAACAGCCAGGTGTTCAGCCCTCTTAATGCTGTGCCATTGGTGAACCAAACTGTTATGAAAGGCTTAATTTGGTTTAAAATCTGAATTACTATGAGTAGGACCTTAAAAATATATGAAGATTTCCCAGTAAAACTTTCCCTCCTGTAATACTGTATGGTTTCCTAGGATGTCTTACTGCATCTTATTGAGATTTGTTTGTAACAAATGCATAGCTGTGTTTTGAAGAAAGTCTTCCCTCTATTAAACGAGAGCTAGGTTGCATTAATTTACAGTGCAATAATATTAAAAAACAAACTTCTCCTGTCATTTGTCTACACCATTTTGAACAACTGGGTTTAAATTTTAGGAGATTAAAAAGTATTGGGACTGATAATATATGCTTATGAGGAAACATGCAAAGAAAGGCAGTTTGGATCAAGGCATGTAAGCATAATGTCTTATTTCATTTTGTTTGTTTACAGGAATGCTCAAGGAATGAACAAGTGCATGAACAAGTACATTGTTATTATGTTCATTATGGTTTAAAATTTGCATTTAAGTTTTCCAAAAGCTTGATTGAAAGTAATGAACATTCCAAGAAATTTGTAACCAGTAAAACTGAGAAAACTTCAAAAATGTACATTATTTGTATAGAAAAATAATCAAATCATTATCCATGCAATCTTTGAAAAGTTCAGTATTGTTACTCTTCTGTACACTCTATGCTTCCTGAAAATTTAGATATGAGGCACAAGTTTCTGAAGTTTATGCTGAGAATAACAAAACTCTTTGAAAATGTACATAATAAGTGAAGAATCATAGGTCTGTGACCCTGAAATTAAGACCGTCTTTCCAGAAGATGATCCTAATCATTCTAATATCCAGAAAAACTGAAATGAATCAGTGCAATATCAAAGCTCTGTTGACTATTTTCTTTATCTGCAAGGGCATTTTTCATCATGAATACGCTTTATTTTGCTACACTATAATCAGAAGTATTCCCATGCATAGCTACAGTATTTAATAGACAGTGTTTGTTTATGTTACTATATTCGAATGGCACTGAAATTGAGAGTAATTTCACTTCTAAATAACATTACTAAATTCAACTACTCTGAGTTTATTCAAATGAACTTGTTAATACAAAATAATGAAATGCCCGTGCGTAAACATCTTGTAATAATCCAATAACACAGTTAGTTTTTAAAATAAGTATTAGAAGGCTTACAGGTCAGCAACATTCTAGCGATCGAATTCTATCGACAACAAAATCCCAATGTTTGTTGCCAACACAATGCAACGAAAAAGTGTAAAGTAATTTGAGAGGTATGTATGTAAACATACTCTTATCTTATACAAAGTCTTGATACAAAGACAAAGGGAAAGTTTATTTTTTGGTCTTTTGAAAGTACCAGTCTTAGTTTTGACTGTTACTATTCGAACTAATCCGTCCTTGCCAGGATGAATATTGATGATCCTGGTAGGCCATATTAATGGTGGATATAGATCTTCGATGATAAGAACCACAGTGTCTGTCTTCAGGTTAGGTTTGGCATGCTGCTACTTGCACTACTGCTGAAAAGAAGTCGGATACAAAGACCAAGATCTGGAATGATCTCAAATTCAGACTTCAAAGCCACCAACCCCGCCTTCTTTTTTTTTTTTTTTTTTTTTTTTTTAATTCTTTGTGCAAGTGCATTTGATTTTTTCCCTCTCTCCATAATAAAACGTGGGGAGTTCCGATTCTTAATTTCACTTTGGCACTAAATAAAGTACCTCATTATTGAAGAAACAATCATTTTATCATAAATTTTTGTGATCAGTAATTTTGCTCAATATCTGCATGGCATACATCTCAAACCAAAACATTCTACATAGAATCTTACACCTACACCTTACACCTACTAATATTTTATGTCCCTGACACCAACCCCGTGAGTCATTATTTATTTTACTTTGCTTTCATCACTGCATGTGTATCAGCACAGGAGGACTTGAGTAATGACTCTGCAGCAATGCTTAAACAATTTTTGTTTTTATTTTAGTAATTGAATAACAAAATGTATGGTAACCTTTTATATTGACATTACGCTTGGCGATGATTACAGATCTAAATTAAATGCGCTACAAAATCTTGACGAGCAAAAATTTTTTCCCCGTATGTTAAAAATAGATTTTCTTAATGATATTCATAGACTGAAAGATTACATTTAGTGCTATTTGAATTAAGAATAACTGAATTGTTATTCACATAAAACCCAGAATCAGCACCAAAGCCCATATGGCTGCACTGGGCAGCAGCAGTTTAGGGGAGACAAAATTTTTGGAATTTAGAGAAGCGCCTGGGAACAAAATTATGGGATGACAAAATTTTTAGAATTTAAGGAAAGCACTGGGATCCAAAATTTGGGGGGGGGGCAAAAATTTAGAACTTGGAGAGGCACGTGGTAGCAGAATTTAGAACCCACAGAGATTGCATCAGGTGGTAAGATATCTAGTGATAAGCCCTTGATAAGCTTTAAGTATATGAGGGAATTAATTTATTCAAGATTCAAAAATTATACTTTACTGATTCTAAAAAAATTCAGCCAATATAGATGATTGCGCTGTTTCTTAACTTTCTGATTTGATCCAGCTTAATTATTTTTGCAGGCTGTTTTTATTACAGAAATTTGATGAAAATTCCAGTTTGAACTTTCGATTTTGTCGAAAAGCATTTCTAATTCTGGAGCTTTAACAGGATTTACAATGCGACAGCATAGTTCAATGTCCATTAAACAAAATGTGGAATTGTTGCAAAAAATGGATAAGCGTATATCCATCTCAAATTATGCAAGGAATATAGCATTGGAAAGTCAACTGTATATGACATAAGAAAACAGAAAAAAGAACTTTTTGAATTTTTTGTGGATTCTGACACCCTGCTTGCAATCGATAACAGAAAAATTATTCCTTATGCTAAAAGTGACAATCATGATATTAATTTTAAATATCAATTAGCCTCGATCTGAGTAAGTACCGTTGATAACTCTTCGTGAGTCAAAAAAGACCCTTTTTAAAAATTCTTCTCAGATAAAATTTCACTGAGCAAATGCCAGCTTCCCGAATTCCTCTGAAGTGTGGTGAAGCAGGCGGTATAAAATACTATTCAAAAGATGACTTTGTTAGTTCTTGTGACACTAATTCTGTTGCATGCAAAGAAGATTAAATCTGATATAGTTCCTGTAGTTTTCAGCATGCTCCTACAAAATTAGTACCGTTGTCACTATAAATGTGCTGTGGTGTACCACGACATGAAATGAATTCATCTTGGAGTTTCACATGAAGCGTCTAAGCGCAGCAAATACGAGTCCACCGTTATATCACTGACTGCTTCTGCATATGCACAGCTTTAGTCAACAAGCAAACAAACTATATAAGCTTTCATTGTTTTATAACCATGACCTTTATTGAATTTAAGGGTAATACGACCAGCATAGTTCACACCAGATGGGAAAAAAAGGTCTTTCTAAAGTCACATGATGTTCAGGTAAGTTACCCATCAATTGCAGAGTTGAAGCAGCTTTAAATCGATGACGTATTAAACAGTGGTTAACACAACTGCATATTAGACTTTTCCCTCCAATTATCAGTAAGATTGCCTGATAAGATGGGATAATAAAGATGGACGAGCATGC